TTGGGTTCTTGTCTTGGCCCTCTCTGGCCTCTAGGCTTTCCCTCAGGTCATCTCCTACCTCAGAGACACACTCCTTCCTTCTGGATTCAGCCCCTGAAATCCCTTTCTTCCTTCAGGGCAGTTCAGCTGTGACTCCCTCCACCTCCTGGCTTCATGGCTAAAGCCCCACCTTCTGCAGGAAGCCCTTCCCAATCCCTGTTAATTCCAGTACTTTGGTTATTTCCAATTTATCTTCTGCATAGCTTGTTTGTACATAATTGTTTGCATGTTGTTTTCTCCATTAGATTGTAAGCTCCTTGAGGGAAGGGACTGTCTTTTGTCTATCTTTGTCCCCAGCACTTAATCTCGTGCTTAACATATAGTATGTGCCTAATAAATGTTCATTGACTGATTGGTTGACTCCACAAGCCTGCCTTGAATGCCCTGACTGAAAGTGATCTGTCCTTCCTCATTTTTTTTAATAATAGCTCTTCCCTGTTTGTTACATGGCCTATTCTCTTTGTTAAACTGTGAGCTCTTTGAGGGCCAGAGACTCTGGCTTTTTTTCCCCTTCATTTTAATATCTGCATTACCTAGAGTGAGTCCTTAACAAGTATGTTTTGAATATTTATATTTATGTTAAAATGCAAAGAAAAGAGAAAATTGGTGGGGGAGAGGAGTGTTTGGCACAATATCTTGAAGAGAGTAGGCATTCCAATATTTGTGGATTTGGTTTTGTTGAGAGAGAAGGAGAGAAGGAGGAGTGTGGGCACCAGTGCAGGACCAAATGTGTAAATTAGGCTTGTAGGAGGCATCAGAAGGGAGAAGGGACAGGAAGTTTTAAAAATCCAAGTTTGTCCTACTTAATGCAGACTTTGTGTTCCCCTGATGTTTTACTTGGAATTCACATATGATGGTATTTGTTGTTACTGGCATGAGATTGTATTGGTCCTTCATCTGGGTTCTGCCACTGTATCCTCCTGTCCTCCCTCCTCCCACACACACATTCTGGGAGTATCTCCCTTTTATGGAGTAGAAGCCAGAAGTGTCTGAGATTCTTTGCTTATCTAAAGACCGGAGGACTGTGGGGTAGCCTGAACGTGTTTTGTTGTCACCTCTTCCAGGTCCCTTTGGGCAGAAAGCCAAAGTCAACCTTCCTCAGTCAGCCTTTCTCCTGTTGGTGCTGCCAACCCGGGGGCCTTTCCATTTCCTGTGTCTAACTGCACCTGAGTGGGATGTTTCCCATTGGGTGCAGCTTGGGGGTTGAAACAATATCCTGAAGGTGTGTGCCCCAGACATGACTCTAGCCTTCACCAAGTTGTAGCTGCTGTCTCTGAATGACCTTTTTTCTCTTTCTTTTTTTTTTCTTTCTTTCTTTCTTTCTCTCTTTCTTTCTTTCTTTCTTTCTTTCTTTCTTTCTTTCTTTCTTTCTTTCTTTCTGTCTTGGTAGAAAAGGAAATAACTAGGAATGTTTCTTTGTGTTTTTGCCTTTCTTGTAACCACCAGCCCTCAGCACAGTGTTTGGTACAGTGTTTGGTAAGAGCTTAATAAAAGTTTGTTGATTGATTATTGATTGATAGAATCATAGATTTAGCACTAGAAAGACCTTCACAGATATCTAGTCTAACCCCTTCCCTTTACAGATGAGGACACTGAGGCACCACATCCTATAGGTTATAAGTATGTAACAGAACCAGATTCAATCCCAAGTCTTCTGGTTCCAAATCTGGTCCCCTCTCTACATTACCACACTTTTCCTCTCCTCTCCCAACAATTTAATTCAACAAAGATTTACCAAGCCCGTACTATGTGCCCCACACTATGTTAGACTTTGAGGATACAACATCAAAAAGGGACCACTCCCTGACCTCAAGAAGCTAATTTTCTGCTCAACCTGTCCTGATGTAGGCTCAAGGAGGCCCATCTCCTATCTTGCCTCATGGGGTTCTATTCTTTCTCATCCTACCTAGTAGGATGGGCCCAGAGACTTCCTGGGACGTGGGCCTGAGGAGTCTGAGCTCCAAGCCTAGAAAGTGAGGGGCAGGCACTCAAAAGCAAAAGTTGTCATCACCAACCTGCCAAGGTGACCTTGAGGAAAGGCCGTCTGCCTTAGCCCATTGCCACAATCTTCCCCTTTGTAAGAGGGAAGCAGGTGTATGGTTAGCTGATGGAACATTCTCTGATTATTCAACCTCTGGCATAGCACAGGAGATTTCTAGTGATGGCTAAACCAGGGGAAACTGATTGAGACTGCTACTTAGATGTGAAAGAAAAGATGGACTGGGGAATTTTCCCAGGAAGACTGCAGATCGCACTGAGCTCTAAACTAGACTGGGAGTGAGTTTGGAATTCTAAAGAAGTGGGTCAAAAAAAGGTTTGGTAAGAACAATGGAGAGTGATATAGAAGGGGACGGAATACCACATAGATGCCAGATGTTGGGATGTTGGTAATACAGACAATACATTAGAAAAAAAGGGGGGGAGGGGATCTGGATTGAGGGTAGCCCAAGGAAACATTTATTGGTTGTCCAAATTGTCAAACATTGTTGGGGGTTCCTGAGGGAGGGTTGTGGAGTCTTAAGAACCCTGTGCTAGGAAGTTTGTGGATATGTGTTCTAGTCCTGACATTGCTACGAACAAGATTTGTGGTTTTAGGCAGGTCATTCCATCTCCATTCGTAAAAGGAGGTGGCGGAGCCTATTTCCCTAGGCCTTGATGACCTCTAAGGTGCCTTGTAATGGTCACGTTCTATGAAGCTCTTTTGATCTCCTTATTCTTTCTTTGGGTATGTGTATGTGGGGGGGAGTTGTGGGTCCTATCTGTGATGTCATTATGATGGGAACTGCCCAAATTTGAGCTCCCTCCACCAGTACAGATCAGCTACTAGTCCATAATTTATATTTTTAGAGTTTCCTAGGGATGCCTTGTCCATGGTGTCATCTGTTGGACTTGAACCCAGGCTTTCCTGGCTCCACAGCCAGACCCTCTACCACTACATCCTGTTCCTTCTCAGCAGACCTACTCTATTGACTTATAGGGCAAATTCTCATCCATGCAAGCTGGGTTAGACATATTCCTGCCTGAATGCAGGGAAATGGAACAGATCCCATTTAACATCTCTTTCTTGGTCCAAAGATCTTTTCATTCCATTTTTACAGCCACCAAACTACTTGCATTATTTTTTTGCTGCAATGACCCAGTTCCCTTGCCAACTCCCAGTGTATGTCTTTAAATTTTAAAAAATATATATAATTTTTTTAATTTATCAAATGAGATAGGATTTAGAAAAATGCTAAGTACAGTACCTGCTACATAGCAGGTGCTTAATTCAGGCTTCTTTTTTATATTACCTTCATTTCAGAATATATTCCTCCTTTTCCCCTACTCAGTGAGCTATCCCTTGTTTAAAAAAAAAACAGGATGGGGGAAGGGCAATAAAGAGAAGAGAAAAAATCAATTCAGTAAAACTAATCATGTACCAGCTGTCTGATTATAAATGTACCATTACACACCCATCCTCCCCTCTCTCTCTCCAATGAAGGGAATAAGGTACATTTTCTCATTTCTTTTTTTAGGGATAGGCCTGGTTGTTTTTAGTTATTCAGTATTTAGTTTAATTTGCCTTGTATACTGTCAATGTACCTTTTCATAGTTATTGTGTTTGTTGTATTCCTGGTTCTGATTTCACTTTGCTTTTGTTTGTATAAGTCTTCTCTTGGTTTTCTAAATTCTCCATATTGATCATTTCCAATGATTGTGGTAATATTCCATTACTTTCATTACTATGCTTTATAATTTAATATTTCCCCAATCAAAAGTCATCTATTTTGCTTCCAGTTCTTTGCTACCACAAAAAGTGTTGCTATCCATACTTTGGTATATATAGAATCTTTTGCCCACTTTCTTTGACTTTCTTAGGGGTATATATGCCTGGTAGTGAGATCTCTGGATCAAAAAGCATGGACATTTTAGTCACTTTCTTAGCATGATTCCAAATTGTTTTCTAGAATGATTGGATCAGTTTTCACAGCTCTTTCAACAGTATATTAAAATCACTCATTAAAGATTTATTTAGCACCTACTCTGTGCCAGTCACTATGATAAGCCCTGGGGACAGAAAAAGAGGCAAACAGTCCCTGACCTCAAAGAGTTTACAACCTAAAGTGACCAGCTTTCCATAGCACCTCCAAGTTTGAAAGTTTCCATTTTTTAAAAAATATTTTCCAGTTTGCAGGAAATAAGATGAAATGTCAGGTTTTTGGATTTGCGTTTCTCTTACTGTTAGTAGTTGAGAGTAATATTACGCATAGTTAAAAATTTTCAATACATTTCAGAATTGTTCCTATCTTTTGGTTCTTTGTCTTAGATATTTGTGTTAATTCCATGTATGTTTCAGACACCAGACCTTCATCAGAGATATTGGATAAAAATATTTTTCCAGTCTATAGCATTGCATTGATTTTTATTGATTCATACAATTCAATTTCCTATGATCAAAATCATCTATTTTATCTCTGAGGTTGCCTTTGTTCTTTGACGGGTTGAGCATTCTCTCCAGTGCCGTATCTGTGAAAGATGCCTGAGCTGGTTCTCTTCTTACTTTTCTATGGTATAACTTTTAACATTTGTGTCATTTGTTCATTTTGAACATATTGTGGTATATGGTATCAGATGCTTGTCTAAACCTATTTCCTTCCTATCATCTGTTTTCCAGTTCTCCCAGCAGCTCTTGTCAAATAGAAGGTTCTTCAACAAGTAATATATGTTCTTGAATTTATTGAATAGTGGGTTATTGACTTCAGGGGTTTCTAATTCTTCCTTAGCTAGTCTGAAATGCTGATTTGCTTTTCTATTTTTAATCATTATCCAATAATCATAATGATCTTTACTTTAAAGTATAATTTAAGACTTCCAGCCTATTTCTACAATCCTTCTGTCCTTCACTTAGAGCCATTTCTCTAGGCAATAAGCTAGCAGTTTGGATGCTTTGACCTAATTGTTTTTCTCCTCTTTCTGTACAGTATGAATTCAAAGCCAAGAACATCAAGAAAAAGAAAGTGAGCATCATGGTATCAGTAGATGGAGTAAAAGTGATTCTGAAGAAAAAGAAGAAGGTGAGTATCCCTGAATCTGCAGCTGGGGAATGGGGAAGGGGTGGTGAGGTGGAGGGGAAACAAGTCAATCTGAATGTATCTAGATCCCCTCCCCGCTTTTTGATGCTGATAACCAGAGCTCAGATTTTTAACCTTGAGACATGAGTAACTTTGATCCTGGGGTGGGTGGCATGGGAGGAGGGGCTTGCATTTTCTTTATAAAAGGAGGTTCCCTCTTTATCTCACCTCTTTCTCATTATTGGCCTTTGACACCCTGCCCTGTCCCAGAATTTGGCTCTGACTGTGTTGATTCATTCATCAAACATTCATAAAGTGCCCATTGTAAGCCAGGTACTGGAAATTCAAAGACAAACATAACCCTGCCCCTTAAGGAACTTAAATCTATTGAGGGGTAAATGGAGGACAGGGTTGGGTGGGTGGGTGGGGAGAATGACACACATGCAGATAAACCAAAATATATAAAAAGTTGGGAAGGCTCCAACAACTGTGTGCTGTTCACAGAATGCCTTCTTTCTGTTCTTAGTGCTGATTAGTTTGTTTTAAAGAGCATGGTCAGGAATGATTTTGGTTGAAACCAGCTGTGGGTTGGGGAGTAAGGTGGAGTGGAATTCCTCAGGCTTCTGCTGTTGCTCTTGCTGCCTGCAGAAGTGGCTGCATTGGTGGTGACTGACTGGCCCCAAAAGGATTAATTCATAATGCTGGCTTCTGGGGGTTTGGGCTTTAATGTGTGTATGTGTGTGTGTGTGTGTGTGTGTGTGTGTGTGTGTGTGTGTGTGCCTGTGTGTGTAGAGGTACTAATATTGGGGAGCTGGTGTTGGTGAACCTTGGGAAACATTAGGGTGTGGTGAGTCGAACCCTGTGTTCATATGAAGGAAGGATGATGGGGTCAGTTGATCAGAATATTGTAAGTGAAGCAGCGGTGGTACTAACTTGGGTGTTTTTCACAATCCAATTTAGGTCATAGGCTATAAGACGTAGACATGGAAAGGACCTTTAGAGGTCACCTAGTCCAACCCAGTCAATCTACAGATGAGGTGTCTGAGGCCCAGAGAGGGGGCAGATTTGCTCAAGGTAGTACAGTGAGCTGAACTCTGATTTGAACTCAGGTCCTCTAAATAGCAGATGTAACCCAAGGTGACACTGGTGTCTTTGTGAAGGGGGAAGAGGGACAGTAGGGTGTGCTGCCTTCAGGAGCCCATTGCTACTTCCTGAGAATGTTCCTTTGATTGTGAGGTTGGATTTGTGTAAGAAAAAATGGGAGGTAAAACTGTTCCCCAAAGACCACCATCTTCAAAATGTAAGGGGCCCAGGGAATTTAACCATTCCCTAATGAGCCCCCTCTGTAGGAACCTCAGCAAGTGCTATGTTTCATGTTCGGAAGAGGGCAAGAAAACTTCTTCCCCTCACAGTAATTAGTTGTGACATCACCCTTGAAACAGAGTTCTCCCTGGGGTCCAGGTGGCATACTGAAACCAGGTGGGCAGCTGAAGCAAGCTGGGTCCTGACAGGTGGGGAAGGTCCCTGGGCACCAGTTAAAGAAATTAGGTGTGTGTATGAGAGAGAGTATTTAATACTAACAGGCAGCCCGAGGCCACAGATGCCCAGCATTGACCTCGAAGGACAGTTATGAGTGATGTAAAGGTTGATTGGAATGAAGCACTGTTGACTCTTGCCATCCTGATAAGCTGAGTCACATCCTGGCATCTGCCATAGCCACCATGTATCTCGGTTGGCTCAGTAGATGGGGGAGGGTAGTGAGGAGGAGGAGGAGGGAGGGTAGAAGGTGGGCTTCCATAGGTCAATTGTGATATGGCCTCTAGGCTCCTGGTGGGAGCAACTAGGGACCCCTGGTGTATATTCCCTGAAGAGAAAGCTGTGAACTCCCCCAACTGCCTTTTCAATATCAGCAGTGAGCCAAGGCATTAGGAAAAGGAGAAATGCCCCTTCTAGCAAGAGAATAAAAAATATGCCAGAAAAAAGATCTATTAGATTGAAATACAACCTCCCCAAGGGAATCAGGAGGGACTCTGTGAGTCACTCAAAACTCAGCTCTTCAGTTAGCCGGGAGGAGTGAGGAGGAATGATCTCATAGCCCTTTCTCACAGGTGATTCTTCTGATGTCAGGCTGAGAAAAGAAGTTCACCTTTCACCTACTCCTCCCACACCTAGTTTCACTTTCAGGGATGTGGCTGTGAGCTTGGTGATCCCTCTAATCTTGGTTTCATTTGTCGCAGTAACTGGCAGGGGAATGTACAATAAATAGCAATCAGTCTTGTTGTTTTTCTTATGCACCAGCCCACGTGGCACCAAGCACCCCTGACCCTGCGTCTGTCTCTCTTTCTTGTCATAATGATGATAATCACCATCAATCTCATTTCCATTTCTATAAAACATTCGACTTGATAATCTGCTTTCATTACTACAGTTCTATAGGGCAGGCAGTATAAAATTGTTTTAGCCTTCTTTTGCTAATAAGGAAACTGAGGCTCAGAGAGATGAAGGGAATTTGGTCCCATGGTCCCAGAGCTAGCTCCTTGTGGGAGCTGGAATATGAACTCAGGTCTCCAGATTCCAAGACTAGCATTTCTTTCTTTTTCTTTCTTTCTTTCTTTCTTTCTTTCTTTCTTTCTTTCTTTCTTTCTTTCTTTCTTTCTTTCTTTCTTTCTTTCTTTCTTTCTTTCTTCTTTCTTTCTTCTTTCTTTCTTTCTTTCTTTCTTTCTTTCTTCCTTCCTTTCCTTCCTTCCTTCCTTCCTTCCTTCCTTCCTTCCTTCCTTCCTTCCTTCTTTCTTTCTTTCTTTCTTTCTTTCTTTCTTTCTTTCTTTCTTTCTTTCTTTCTTTCTTTCTTTCTTTCTTTCTTTCTTTCTTCCTTTCTTTTAACCCTGCTGGGAAGGTGGTGAGGATATAGAAACAACCTGAAGATGCTCAGTTTTCTCTGAGAGAAAATAGCCTTAGCGTTATCAAGAAGGAAGTAGCAGGTCTTAATACCCCAAATGGCCCCCCCAAAAAAAAGATTTAATTTGCATTATTCTCCTGCCTCCAAATGGCCAGTCTGTCAGCGCCTCTGTGTGGGATCCAAATCTAAACCTAGGCTTTTAGGATCTAATGTGTCTAACGATGATCTGGTCCTGTAGCCTCTTCCAGAGTGATCTATAACCTAATTGGAGATGAGGACCTCCCAGCAGCCAGGGCAACGATCATAACAGATGTTTATATAGGGCTTGAAAGAGTACAACCCACACTATGTACTTTATGGTCATTCAGTCAATAAACGCATATTAAGCATCTGCTATGAGCCTGGTGCTGTGCTAACCACTAGGGGTACAAAGGAAGATAAAAGTAGCCCTGACTTCAAGGAGCTTACAATCTAATGGGAGACACAATATGCAAATAACTAGATAGGAACTAGCTACGTACAGGACATATGGCTGGGTCCCCATCAGTGTGAATGGTGAATCCTGGGAAGTAGTTGCATTATTAGAATTTTCATTGCATATTTCTACTGGACTAGAGCCAATTACCATATTTTACATATCATTACTTCAAATAGTGTGAATTCAAACAATGTAACTGCGTTGGGGGATGCGTTATTTGCACTAATACCTAGCCGTATCTCATTCAATCTTCATCTCATGACGTAGGTGGTATTATAATTTTCTTTTTATAGACAAGGAAATAAGAGGTTAAATGACTTACCCAAAGTCATGATGCTGGTGATCATCTGAGGCAAGATTTGAATCCAGATCATATTGACTCTGAGTTTACCAACCTATTCATCACACCACACTGTCCCTGTGGGTGGCCCCTGGAAAATGGGGGGAGATGGTTAAACTGCCCTTTCTTCGGGGATATCTCTACCTAGCAGTAGCAGGGAGGAGAACTAAATATGAAGGTAGCCCCCTCTCTTTTGTATTTCATTTGCATCAATCACAGGCTTACTAAACATGGTGTCTGTACAGGATTCTCTTGCAGGAATGAATAGCGGGCACCCCTGGGATGGAGGGAGGAGAGAATTGAAAGATAAAGCAAGGTCAGTGATTTTTGCTTCTAGCATGACAGACTGGGGTGGGGTAGCATTAGAGTGAGGGACCCCTTCTCCTCCCCTCTTCCCCCATCAGGCAGCCAGCAAAAGGCCCCTAACACTCTCCAGTCTATCAGGACCCATTCATTGTCTCTCTTGGCACTGGAAAGAAATGTGGAGACAAGAGAACCCATTGGGAAGATGTGACCAAGTCACTGGCTCAGGCAGTGAAGCTGTTTTGATGCTCATCACTTCTTCCAGCCCTCAGTGTGCCCTTCTGTGAGATGGGAATAACAGCCATTCCCACACAGAAGAGGGCCTGGGACTATCTCATATGAAAGTGGTAATTACCATATCACTATCTCTCTCCGATGAATCTCGTTTAAGAGACGTTGTAAGGGTGTGGGTACTGGCCAAGTAAGTGGTAATTATCTCTAGCTGATTTTTTTTAAACCTTCCAGATTTTTAACAAGTACCTAGAGGTCCTTCCTTCTGAAGTGATGCCAACTTACAATGAATTCCTGGTTCCTTCAGAAGTTTAACTTTGATGTATCTTAGCTCATTTGTCTCTGCTCATCTGCTAAATCTAAATTATTACCTTCTCTGTGCATGTGAGGACTGTGGTCATCCACTTCACAGGGCAGAGCTGTATAAGGCAGAGTGAATGGAAACTACTTGAGGGCAGAGATTGGTAGGTTTTTGCCTTTGTTTCTCCATCTTCTCTGTACTCCCCAAAACATGGGAAAGTGGTTGTACTAGATCAAATACAATGAGGAATTCTATGCTGGGAATGACTCAATTTTTAAAGCATTGAGGGATTGTTTTGCAGTTTATAAACTACTAGGGTGCAGGATGGATAGAGGATTGGATCCGAAGTCAGGGAGGCCTGAGTTCATATCTTGCCCTAGACAGTTATGAACTGTGTAACTCTGGGCAAGTTACTTAACCTCATCTGCCTTAGTTTACTTTTCTGTAAAAAAAA